ACTAACCTGTAAGTTAAGAATGCCTAACAGGAAAAATTCTTGCAATACACTTGAGTCCTCATGCAGAGCTGACTTAGCAGCCATTGACATATTTTTTTAGGAAATAAATATTTTTACAATAATTTTAATAATTTTGATGATTTAAATAATTTTAAAGGAAAATGAGGTAATTGTAGTAAGATTTCAGGAGGCAAATTTTTATAAGAGAAGAAAAATAATTCTGTTGTATAAATTAATTCCTAGGATAAAAAAAGTGGGAGAGAATGTTTTTCTGTATCTTAAGCAGTGGAAAGTCAGGTAGGTAAAATTATTTCTGCTGAAACAACTATATGATACAAGTGCATTTGTAATTTTGGGCTGTGCAGCCAAGGTGTTGCAAGGGTTAATTTGCAGTACATCTAGTATAGTGCTGCGGTACGTACAATTTAGATATAGAAGTCTAATACACAAATGGACTTTCAAAGACAACATTTCTTCCTTGTTGTTAAAGATTGAGTATGAACAGCTACTTTGGCTTTGCAAATTTTGCACAACAGCTCTTTATATAAGTACTTATGAATTTAGGTTGCTTTTCATCAGCTTTACTATCAAAGTTATGACAGATTACAGAGTTCCTTGGCAAGATGAAGAAAGGCTGCAAAGGAAATACTGATGCCATTTAAAAGAAAACAGGTAACTGCCTTAGTGAAACCCCTTCTTTTTACCTGTGAAGGACTGAAGAGTGAAAAATAGTTCATGTCCACAAAGGCTACATTAATTGTGTGCAGTGCTTGGAAGAGGTGAAGGCTGTACAATTTTTATCTAGCTTGTGCATTTGGAATGTGAAAATATTATGTGATAGATCAGAAGTACAGGGAAAACTGGGCATTCCTCTATTGCTTTGTAAGGCTCAGTAGCACAGACTTTCTTGGAATATCTGCCCAAAAACAAACAGGAGACACGTCATGAAGGCTTTATGTCTCAAAATAAATTCCTTACAGAAATTACAGACCAAGAAAAAAAGTTTTCATCCTTATTTTCCTGTTGCCAAAGTTTTAATGTGCACCTACATGAAGGTCTTCTACTTTATTTTGACTGCAATTAAGTAAAAGGACACACTTTAATCTTACTTGAAATCAAAGTACTTTAAATTATGGGAAGAAAAGCAGTCCCAAATGACATTTGCTGTCATTGCTCAAAATGCTGAATGTACAAACGGTATGAAAATGACTTTACTTCAAGAAGGTTAAAATCTGAATAGCACTGACATACGGTTGAAAGGATTAAAAAAATCCCGTTATCTCCATTATACAGATGGGAAATTGAGGCACAGAAAGAAGAAAACTTGCCCAAGGTCAAATGAGAAATCTCCTCAGATACGATTTTCTCTGTAAAATACCTCAGTATAAACTTATAGTCACCTAATAAAGAAATGTGGGAATCATCCACATAGCATACTTCATCATAGGAATCTTTTTCTTATCATTATTTCTAAAGTAAGTTCAAACCAACACCATCAAACTGCTCTGACACAGCTTGGCTAGCCAGCTAAAAGCATTATCTGTGTCAACCAGACAGAATATACCAGTGCACGTTCTTTGAAATAACTTTATTTCCAACTAGAAACTTTTTTAAGGCTCCCTTTAGAAGCTAGGATTTCTCTTCTCTTTTTACACTTCCAATGTATTGTCAATTGATTTCCTTGAGATGATAGGATCAGGACAGCAATCATCACCCTGTACTCAGCACTGGTGAGGCTGCACCTCAAATCCTGTGTACAGTTCTGGGTCCCTTGCTGCAAGAAAGACATTGAGGTGCTGGAGTATGCCCAGAGAAGGGCAACAGAGTTGGGAAAGGGTCTGCAGCATACATCTTATGAGAAGCAGCTGAGAGCTGGGGGTGTTTAGTCTGGAGAAAAGGAGGCTCAGGGGAGACCTTACCACTCTCTACAACTACCTGAAAGGAGATGGTCACAAGGTGAGAGTCAGTCTCTTCTCCCAAGTAACAAGTGACAGGACAAGAAGAAACGGACTCAAGTTGCACCAGGGGAAATTTAGATTAGATATTAGTGAAAATTTCTTCATGGAAAGAGTTGCCAAGAGTTGGAACAGTCTGCCCAGGGAAGCGGTTGAATCACCATACCTGGAAGTACTTAAAAGACCTGCAGATGTGGCACTCAGGAACATGGTTTAGCAGTGGGCTTAGCAGTGCTGGGTTAACAGCTAAACAATGATCTTCAAGGATTCAATGATTCTATATGCTTATGGAGGCTAAGGGAATTGGGTTTATTTAGCCTTGAGAAGAGGCAGCTCAGGAGTGACCTCATCACCCTCTACAGTTAACTGACAGAAGGTTGAAGGGAGGTGGGAGATGATCTGCCATTCCTGCAGTGAGAGGACTAGAAGGAACAGTTATAAGCTGAGACAGGGGAGATTCAGATTTGATGTTAGGAAATTTTTTTTCATAGTTAGGGTGGTCAGGCACTGGAATAGATAGCCCAGGGAGGTGGTGGAGTCACCACCCCTGGAAGTGTTTAAGAGGCATCTGGATTTGGTTTAGAGTATAGGGGTTACAGGAGAGTGACTGGTTAACAGTCGGACTTGAGGATCTTAGACTTGAGGATCTTAGAGGTCTCCTCCAGCCTTGATGATTCGGTGATTCTATGATTCTCTGACACTGTAAAAGCCTGCATGCACCAATTAAAGAAAGCAGAGTCCATCAAAAAGCTCTCTAGACAATTTTTTAAAGGATACAAAGTTAAATTAAATATTCCAGCCTCAGAAGCTGTCACCACAAAGGAAAGCTTCGTGACTGATCTGGTATCAGAAGAGGTTTACAGCATGTGAACATGATGAACATAGTTCCCTTTAATTACAGCGCTTAAAGCAAGAAGAGTACTATTGATTTCTAGACTTCAAGCAGGAGCAACTCAGGAAGGAGACAAGGAGAATCAGGTCCTTCCACTGCAGGAAGATGGTGACACAATTCAGTGATGACTTGATAAGAGGAAAATAGCAGTATTCATACATGATAAATCACATGCATGGAGCTGAGTGTACAGCTTGCAGTCAGTCTTTTCCTGTGAGCAATGTAAGCACCAGGACCACAGTGTGAAGCATCTGCTCACAGTCTTCCAAGCTTACTAGTGATCTCAGCATTTGCAGTCTTCTGATGAATAAGGAATACCAAGTGACTATTTTAGAGGCGGTTAGAGGGTCAGGAGAGGTGAATCATGTTGGCATTATCTGAGGTCAGAGAGCAGGAATTTCCTTCCAAGCACCTTTAAGAAAACACTTTCTTCCAGCCCTAGACAGCAAGTGCATCTTACCACTCATATAAATAAACTGAGAGCCAGAGTTAGTTCAGCAGTTTCTCTAGTCTTCATGACAGTCAGATTCATGCTTGCCTCCTGTCTCAGCAATGCCAATTGCTCTAAGTACACACCCCAGTGGTTATATCCTTCTTTCATAGAGATGGCTCTCACTAATCCTTATCCAACCAGAAAAATAACTGCATATGTGAGAATGAATTACACAGCATCCATTAATTATTTACATGTTGTGATAGGAGCTATAATTAAAATGAAGAAGCTGATTTTACTCCTCATTCCCTTGTATTCCTGTCCCATATAGGGAAAAGCATTGCTTTTCAATTAACTCAGTGTTTTGCTCACATTGAAATTTTCTTTTTTCTAAGAACTCAAATTCATTCTTTAAGAAGAGAACTTTTTCAAGAGTGTCTGAAAACTAAGTTTTTATAAAGTTCACTTTAATAGTTCCCCAAGGCAGTAACGTCTAGACATTATCACTACACTTTGATCCCAAAAGTCTGATCTGCCCCTGATACACATGCACTGTGAGTATACCACTGAAAAAACAGGTTGCACATTACTCAGCCATGCTAAGGGACTAGGACTAATATATTGATTTAAAAGCACTATGAAGGTGAAAAAGTATTAACAACTGTTTCTTAGAACACGTACTTTTTGTCATGGTGAATTAAGAACTGAGTGTCTAGTTTGGTTTTTTAATAATATTAATATGCACTTGATAATGTGAAAAGTCTCTGCTTTGCATGAGTCCTGCCTTATCACTCACAGAACTGTTTCTGAGGGTTAGCATTCAATTATTTCAAAACAAAAAAGAAAATGTAACTCACACTGGACACATTTAAAATTTAATTTGTTCTAAATTTTCTCCATGACAAACATGCAAAATACCAAGTACCATCTCTTCCCTGCAGCCGTTAAAGGCATGCAGAACATCCCCGACAACACCTAGCATCTTGCAGAATAAAGCACCTGATACCACAAAAAAACATTTTTGATGTCAGTGAAACAGTCATCTCTCAGCCAGAACATCTGCTGTTTCACAAAGCACACTAAGTCTAACAGTTTGTGATAGAAAAGACAGACATTCAATGCATATACCTCCAAAAGTCAGCAGGATACAATTGTCCAGAGCAGAATGTGAGCAGAGTATCACCTCACCATATTCCCTTGACATGGAAGTTAAATCATATCCTTAATGTTTAATACATGGTCAGATTTCAATGTTGTGCTTCTTGCTGAAGCATATCTAAGTTTCCAGAATGGTTCATGTCTCAGATGCACCCTGTTCTGTGTTTCTCAGGCCCTCTATCCACCGGGCCCATAAATGATAAAAGTATCTGTTGTTCATCAGAATCCTATAAAAACACTTGAGAGAATTCCCAAACCAAGGCTGAAACAGAAGCAAGTACATTTGTACTCAAAGCCTTTGAAATTTTTCTGATCACAGGGTATTGCACAATACACTTTCACTGATTCCACTGACAATCAGTCTGGATTGTCTTAAAGACTCAACATGTATGAAGAAAATGACATAAATGTACTAACAGTGTACTGGTATGTAGCTGCCTACATACATCGCCTAAATTTCTTTTGTTGGAGCAAAAGTTTCTTGTTTCACTGCTGGCTTTAGGATGGTCAGTTAACTTTCCTTCTAATTAAACGAAATAAACTCCCTTGAAAAAATACATACCAAGTACATTAGCCGTACACTGGAGAATTCCTGAGACATCTTCAGTTTCTTCATTGCCAGAGCAGTCTGTATAGGAGCATCTGTTTGATATATTGTGAAAATTCTTCTCTGCATCCCTGTAACTACAAGTCAAAAAGAAAAGTAATAACATTATAGCATCTCCTTATACAAATGCAAAGTCAACAAATCTATTTCAGAAGTGGTGGGGAATGATGCCTTTAGCCTCCTTTGTCCCTTCCCTCTTCTTCCCTTTGTCACTCCCTTTCCATGTGTGCATTAGCACACACAGATGCCAATGCATTAGTAGCCTGGACATGTCAAGTACAATTCGAGAATCTGGAATATTATCTGTAATAAGAATGAAGACATAAGAACAGTATCAAAGGGCTGAAGCATGAGGGTCCTGAAGCTGAGGATGCAGAGCTGCACATTTGGTTCTCCCCAATAGGGAAACTGTTTCATCGCATGGAGTAAAGCACATTAACAAGGTAGGGCCTGCCAGTGCATTCTGCAGTGAGGTGCATGGTCTGTACCACTTTCCGCCTCCTGCAATGTCAGGCCATGTGCCTGGCAGAAGGCCATGTCCCGACACCCTCAGAGCCCAAAGTCATGGTCAAACCCCACCACCGTACCAGAAGGTCAGGCCTTTTCAGCCCATATCACTGACTCCCTGAAGAACACCATAGCCACTCTTCATCTCTGCTCCTGGGGTTCAACAAGGTGGAGTGCTGGGTGTTGTACTTGAGTCACAACCCCATGCAGCACTACAAGCTGGGAGAAGAGTGGCTGGAAAGCTGTCTATTGGAAAAGGACATGGGGGTGCTAGTCAACAGTGGCTAAACAAAAGTTGGCACCATGCCCAGGTGGCCAAAAAGGCCAGTGGCATCCTGACCTGTATCAAAAATAGTAGGCCAGTGGGACCAGGGCAGTGATCGTCCCCCTGTACTCAGCACTGGTGGGTCTGCACCTCGAGTACTGTGCTCAGTTTGGGGCCTTTCGAAACAATAAAGACATGGAGGTGCTGGAGTGTGTCCAGAGAAGAGCAACAAAGTTGGGTAAGGGTCTGGAGCACAAGTCTTATGAGGTGCAGCTGAAGGAGCTGGGGATGTTTAGCCTGGAGAAGAGGAGGCTCTGTGGGAACCTTATCGTCCTCTACAACTGCCAGAAAGGAAGTTTTAGTGAGATGGGGGTTGGTCTCCTCTCCCAAGCAACAAGTGAAAGGGCAAGAGGAAATGGCACCAAGTTGCTTAGGAGATACTTGGATTGGATATTAGGGAAAATTTCTTCACGGAAAGAGTTTCCAAGCATTGGAACAGGCTGCCCAGGGAAGTAGTAGAGTCAGCATCCCTGGATGTATTTGAAAGACACATAGGTGTGGCACTTGGTTTAGGTTAGACTTAGTGGTCAGTGTAAGTTAATGGTTGGACTTGTTGATCTTAAAGGTGTTTTCCAACCTAAATAATTCTAGGATTCTATGATTCTGTCTGACTGGGACAGGAGATTAGATGAACATTTATGCTGCATGGGTTGTCGGCACCCAGGCACTGGCAGTGGGGACTATAGGGACCACTGTGAGAAGAGACCAGGACTGCCCTGCACTGGGCACAGCTGGCTCCAACCAGCTCCAGTAGCCCCACTGCAGGGCACAGCTGAGCCCTGTGGCCAAGCAGGTGGTGCCTTTGGCAAAATTCATTTAAGAACAGGTACAACACCTCATGAATATGTGAAGTGTGAGAAAAAGAACCTGGAGAAACAGCCCTGCGAGAGCCAAGGTCAGTGAAGAAGGAGGGGGAGGAGGTGCTCAAGGCACCAGAGCACAGATAACCACCTGCAGCCCATGGAGGACCCCACGCTGGACAAAGTGGATGTGCCCTGAAGAAAGCTGCAGCCTATGGAAAACTTATGGCAGAGCAGAGGAACAGCATGTGGAAGACAGCAGTTCCATTCTACTCAGTGCTTGTCGGGCCACACCTAGAATACTGTGTTCAGTTTTGGTCCCTGCTATACAAAAAAAGATACAGACAGGCTGGAGGGAGTCCAGACAAGGGCCACATAGATAATCAAAGGGCTGGGGTACCTGACATATGAGGAAATGCTGAAGGAACTGACTTTCTTCAACCTTGAGGAAAGAAGACTTAGGGAAGATCTTATCATATTCCAGCCTTAAAGGATGGCTGCAATAAAGATGGAGACTTTCTTTTTGCAAGGAGTTACAAGGAAAACATGAGGAGTATTGGGTACAAATTACTCCTGGGGAGATTCTGATTAGACACAAGAGGAAAATTTTACACAATGAGAAGAATCAGCCATTGGAACAATCTCTCCAGGGAAGTGGTGAATTCCCAAATGCTGGACACTTTTAAGATTCAGCTGGACAGAATGCTGGGACATCTTGTCCAGACCATGCTTTTACCAAAAAAGGTTGGACTAGATGATCCTTGAGGTCCCTTACCAACCTGGTATTCTATAAGTCTATGATTGAAAAAGATTCTCTATTCTCCTTATATAGGGAACATTACAGTTAATTAAGCAGTCATCCTCTGATGGGATTGTATAGAAGCAGAACTGAACAGCACTTTATCATTAATGTCCAGACTATGTACTGCTACTCCAAAGTATCTCTAAGAATTTGAGATTAAAAAAAAAATCAAATAAAGAAGCTTATCATGCAAAGCCGTGACTTGGGAAGCACAGAGCAAAATCTTAACCATGCAACTTTCACTGCCTCACATTAACACTTACCCAATAACCTGATGCTCAAAATACTGCAGTGTCTTTTGAAGAGTTTGCCGGATGGTCTGAGGCTACGGAAGAATAATTTAAAAAATTGTGAGATTAGGGAAATACAGCAGAGTTCAATTAACAGATCTTTTATTGCACAATTTTGCTCCAGTTTTACTCCTCTTCATCTTCTACCTGCCATATGCTCATCACAGCAATGGATATGAAATATTATTATTCATTCCTTGTATGTTACTTCACCATTTAAATAGGAACTAATTTTACAATGTGACATAATTAATACACCTTATAAGACTAGCTGCACATAACAAAGGACCCACTTCACTATCAGGTCTCACAAACTATCACCCACCAATTATCTCACTAATTTAAAAAAATTAATTTGAAATAGTCTGCAAGAAAATGCATTTTGTGATGAAAGTATCACCAGGAAAAGACATTGAGTTTTTAAACTCTCTATGCTCCCAAGAGCACTTTGCAATAAAGAATATTATAAAGATGCAATTTATTTTGGCTTACCTCCCTGACAAGCTATGACTCTACAGTCATCTTTCAAATTATGAGGAAATTCTAGTTCATCAAAAGAAAACCATTATATGTTTCAAGCATTTCCATGCTGTTTCATTTTAATAGATGTTCATCAAACTATATACGTGCATATATGTTTTCATTTGCATTACTGCTACTACTACTGCTACTACTGCAGTGTTCACCAAAATACTTATGTGTGTGTGTATATATATATGTTTATTTCTCATATTACTACTGCTTCTGAGGCTAGTATTATTTCAAATTAGTTCATGAGAGATCTTTGGACAAGTAAAGCATATGTGATATCCATGTCATTCTCTTTTGAATTTTCCAAGTCACTTATGCAAAACATTATTTTTCCAAAATGACTAGTTTGTATCAAATCTGAGGTTCTTCACCTGTCTATTTTGTTCTGGTGCCAGAGATCAGACAGAGATACACAAATGGGGTTTATAAGCCTTTCTTCAGTATCAAAGACACACAGGGACATTTTGATCAGACTTGCAACAACACACACTCAGATTTTAGAGATATCTGGTCTTTTTCTGCCTTTTGGAAAAGACATCTAATTGTTTTAGAAAGTAGTATCTGACATTCCCCTTAATTAGAGGAATTTAATTCTAAAATGACAATCAACTTTGAAAGTCTCAGATTTTGCTTACTGGCCTACAGATTCAGCGGTTCAAGAGCTGAGCTTTCTACCTACTCTTGCTTCTGAGTGTGCATTAGGAGGCATTTGTTTTGGATGATAGCAGGAAGGAAAAAATGTCTATCAGGCTACACTAGGTCTGTACAATTGCAAAAAGTGTCTACCCTTTTGAATTCAAATGTGTGCAAATGCATGCACTTAATGTGTGCCTAAGAGGGTTTATAAGAAAGATGGGGACAAACCTTTCAGCAGGGCCTGTTGTGATAGGACAAGGGGCAATGGTTTGAAACTCTAAGAGGTTAGATTAAGACTAGATATAAAAATTTATAGTGAGGGTGGTGAAACACTGAAACAGCTTGCCCAGAGAGGTGGTAAGTGACCCAACATTCAAGATCAAGTTGGATGGGCTCTGAGCAACTTCACATAGCTTTAGATGACTCTGCTTATTCCAGTCTAGATCACCTTTAAAGGTCATTTCCAACCCAAACTATTATATGAGTCTATGAACAAAAATAAGCTCAAAATAGATGCAAAGAAGCTTTTCTTGTTAACTTTGTATCAGATAACTACTTTACTTCTCTGTGGGAGCTAAGTTTCCTGTGCATTAAAAGTTACATGTTCTCTTGCAAAACACAATGGAAGCACCATATCAATGAAACCATCATATATCAAAAATCTATCCCCTTCTCAGTGGTACAGCAGGTGTTGAAATCCTTAGGCCTAATGGGCTACAATATATTTCATGGTGTGTTCTCACAGAGATTCATAAGCATTCCTGTGCTCATCAGGCAGAAAAGTCCACTCCTCACATACAGAAAAGATGCATTTTCCCACACCAGGAACAAAGCAAATCAAAATGGCTTTAAGCAAAGAAGTACAGAGGGCTGCCATCTCCCATCTCCATACAGCATTTCCCTCTGCCCCACTCCCTACATACACAACAACACTATTCCTCCAGCAACTCCTCTGATATGAAACAGGGAACAGTAGAAATGTTTGATTGCTAAATTAAACCTCCTTTCTGGTTCCACCAAAGTGCTTTTACAGCAAGCATATGGAAGGCAGCAATGCTTGGTACCACAGCAGAGAGGAAGGAAAATAGCTTTTTGTCTTCTCAGAAAGTTTTGCAGCTTGTAACACCTAAGCAATCCTCCATGGATTGTCTTTGTCCTTCTCATGCCTGACACACAGATGTTAAACTCCTTACCCAGGAAAGAATCCTTTTGAATACCTCAATATTTGACAATACAAGCAACCTCCTAGTCCTGAGCTTATTTCATCAGTAAACCTCCCTTCTCCTTCAGTGCTGAATGGAAAAAAAATAGCCCATGCTAACTTTCTCTCCTGAAAGCTAAAACAGTCACCTAGCTGTTTTCAGATGATTTTATACAATCCCATGTACTCATACCCCTTTATCACTGGAAACTCCTACCAAATGTTAGAAATTAAGTACAGACAAAAATAATATTTTTTTACTATTAAAACATGGGTCATAAACAGAACTCTATGTAAATGTGCTCATAGCCAGTATGAAAACTGAGCTGAAGGGTCAGAAAGTCTTTCTTCATCTCTGACAAGAACTTTTACGGCATGTTGCTGTATGGCTAAAAAGCCACTATGCTCACCTTCTCAGTTTGCTGCATTTCATCACTGGTGAATGCCATTTTGCTATATATGTAATTCTGTAACCAGGGTCATGACTAAACAAAACAGCGAGAAGAGATACGACACCTGCTTACAGCTGCCTACAAGGGCAGTTTGGTGTATTACTTCTTCACTACTGACATTGCATTGACCATGAAAGAGAGAATGGGCAGGAAAACATTTCTACCTCTTTTCTCTACCCAATAGCAAGACTGGATAGAGAGATCTCAAAGCTTCATGGCCACTTAAAATGAGAGATTTAATGTAAATGTAAAATAGTGACTATTACCTAAACAATGAAATGTCAACAATTCATTCTTATGATAATGATTTACTGATATCTGGCATTCATTGCAAAAGGAATAGTCACATCAGTTCATGTTTCTAAGGAAAAATCAAAGTAAGACAAATTATTGTTATTGTTAACTGTAAAATAATCCAAGAATTGCCATACCAGATCACATCCAAGCTCCATATGGAGTGATATATAAGATAGAAGGGAACACTGAAGATATTCAGATATTCATTCTTCCATGGCAGAGACCATAGGACTTCCCTAAATTAATTCTGAATTCATACATCAGACCATGGCTAACCCTAATGTGTCAGAATAAATTGCATAAAATAATTGAATCAATGAATCGTACAGGTTTGAAGGAACCTCTAGAGGTCTTCTAGTCCAACATCCTGCTCAAAGTAATTTGAGTTACTGGTTGTTCAGGTCATTCTCCAGACAAGTTTTGAGTGTCTCCAAGGATGGCAACCCCACAATCTCTCTGGGAAACCTGTGCCAGTGTCTGAACACCCTCATGACATTTCATTTTTTCCTGAATTCTGATTTGAAAATCCCATCTTCCAGCTTCATTGCCTCTTATCCTTCTTCCACTGAGCACTCCCATGGAAAGCCTGTCTTCATCTTCTCTAAACACTCTGATCAGTTAGCCATAGACTGCAACAAGATACCCCCAAAACTGTCTCTTCTGAAAATAGACACAGCTCCCCTAACCTCTCGTCAGATGTCCCATGCTCCATTCCCTGACCATCCTGCTAGTCTTCTGCCGGCCCCAGTATCAATCCCCGAGGGGTATGCAGAGGTGACTGGACTTGCTTCATAACCTTCCAAAGTACTGAGGTTGACTGGTCTGTAAGTCCCTGGATCCTCCTTGTCCTTGATGCTGAGTGTGACATTTGACTTTTTCTAGTCATAGGTACCTCCCCTGATTGCCATGACTTGAAGTTTTTTCCTATCCTCCATATCCCTCTGGGGCATCCCATGCCTGCTTCCAACTTCTGTAGACATCTTTTTCTGCATTTGAACAAATTAAATATTCTGGTGCTTTGAGAGGGTGTCAAAGGGTCCATTAAGTAAAACCACCTTCTTGTGCCTATTTACCTTACAGGCTAGTTTCACATTAGATCCTGCCCAAAAGGTCCACGAAGAAGGCAAAATCTGCTCTCCTTAAATATGAGGTAGTGAATCATTCCACTTACTTGTCTTTCCCATTTCTCTCAATGTTTTGAACTCCAGCATCTCATAATCACCGTTAGGCAGGAATTGCTCAACCTTTATACCTTTAACCAGTTCTTGCTTGTAAGCAATAGCTCCAGCAGGGTATCACCCCCTTGTCAACTCACTGATCACCTGCATTAAGAAACTCTCTTCAGCACACTCCAAAAATCTCCTGAATTGCTTGTTGTCAGACCTATTGCACTTCTAGTGGATTTTGAGCTGGCTGAAGTCCCCCATGAGTAACAAGGTTTGCCATTTTGAAGCTTCATCTGGCTGTCTAAAGGCTTCCTCTGCTTTCACTTCTTGACCAGTGTGCAGCAGGTGTACCACCACACCACCCCTGCTCATCTGTCCTCTGCTCCTGACTCTCATGCTCTGGGCCAGCTTGCTCTGCCCAAAGGGAACTGACCGCACCCTACTGGCACCTATCTACTACAGCTCTTCCACCTGGCACCTCAGTGCTACGACCAGAGTACACTGCTGTCGCACACAGTCAGGCAGCAATCCTGACGGTGGCAGTCCTGCCATGACAGCCACCATCACTCCACCAGCCGCCACTGTCGCAAGGTGCACTCCTAGAGAAATCCGCCCTTCTTGTTTGATCTCACCCTGCTCTCCAGCAGTGTGAAACTGGTTCAAGTCCTGAAGACAGAGGAGTAATAGCTCCTCAAAACCACTTTTACGGCTAACGGGAGAAAATATTTATGAAGATATTTTTCTAAATGATCTTGAAATATTCCTGGGTTTTAACTCAAACAACTTCCTTTGAAAAAGGAATCTAGTTTAAACATTGTGTACTATTTTTCCTTTTTCTGAGTTCAATTTTCCCTTCCTGCAGCTTCATTGCTTCAGTTTTGGAGACAAACGGGAAAGAACTTCCACTTTAATTGCATCCCTTGTTATAAATGTCTTTCCTAAGGCAATCAAATGTAAGCTTTCCAATCTTCTCAGAGGACAGAGACTTTAGCCTATTCCCTAGCCATTTTCTGTTGCCTCTGAAATGTCTTTCATTTGATTGCAACACCTTCGGAAATAAACAGCAGGGCTCATCTGCCCAACTGTAGGCACCCAAAGTGATTCAATTCATCCTATGGTTGGCATCTAATACACGCCTGAGGACTCAAGTCTTTAGAAATACCCATTTCTTTCTTTTGTCTAGAAAAGGCATTGAGTGATTGCTTTAGACTTCAACATCTTTTAATGTTTAAGTAAGGACAGACAAACCCCACCCTGAGGTGACAGAGCTGCACACAGTATCCCAGATGACTCAGTCTAAATTTGCATAAATGCAGTTTCAAATTCTCCATCCCATTCCCTTTGCATCCTAAGTAACCCAGACAGAAGTAGGGAAGAAAGGGAGTGTTTGGAACAGAGAGATCCAGAGCCAGAGAGCAGCCAAGTACACAGACAGTTCCTCCTTAACCCTAACAAAGTTTCAAAGATTTTTTTCCTTGAAAAAGCTAAGTGGCTCCTAGCTGAGCTTCAACAGTCATGCTGTTAAATACTTGAGTGCTTAAAATTTAAAACATGGAAGCTGAAGCACTGAAGAGCATAATAGTCTTAACTAGAAACCACTTTGCTTCTGTCAGAATTTCTTCAAGGAATTCCATCAGGTCAGGGGGCTCCTCCAGACTCTTGTGCCCTGGGGAGTTGCAAAGTCCCTCCTGGAGGAATCCACACCTCTGCATACAGGAGAGGGAAGCCACCATGGACCTCAGCCAAATCAGCACTTTGATGCTGTAAGTTTTAAATGCTTCAAATTTGAAGTGTTCAATCACAAACTCAGCAGATGTGCAAGACTTTAATTGCTGGCTTCATTGCCGGTGATCATTCATTAATGAAAAACATTTCTTTTTCTCATATTTCAAAACAAATTTTAGTCAAGTCTTTATGCATAGGTGATTACAGATCTCTAAGCACACATGAGTGGGTGTGCATCTGGCCCATCCAAAAAGAGATATAGGGCAAAACAGTCAATTTCACTCTGGGTTTTTTAAATATTTACCCCATGACCATGAAAGCAGTGAAAAACTGTTCTTTCCCTGTCCTTCTGGTGACCAAAATATTGAGTTTAAGAGTTTGTAAACAAAGAATCAAGGCTCCAGCTGAACACAAACATTTATCAACATTCCCAAGTGCCAGGAGAGGAGAGATAAGCATTGAAATTGCTGTGGCTAAGGAAAAGCAGAACTGAAAAGAAAAGGAAGGCTTCTTCGGCATCTAACAATTTTCTGATGATGCAGAAAGGAGGAAGGCTCCCTAGCAGGCCCTTGCAGGTCCTGCACAGCCAGGATCCCTCCCTGTCCTCTTCCCAATAGCTGAAGAATGGAATGAAAGGGAACAGACTGGAACCAGAAACAGAGAAGCAGAGTCCCAACATAAGCAGTTATCTGAAAATTTAAAAAAGAAATAATCTTTGGGGGGTTCATAGTGCTTTTGATAATACAATCAGGAAAAAAAAGTATAGTTTTGCCCTCTAGCTTTTGAACCTTTAGGGTGCACTCATTTTTTATCTGCAACTATTTGAGCTAAAAATATATTTTTTCTTCACAAAGACCAGCTTCACATTTCCAGATATTTGTGCTTTAGATAAAAGCACTAACTGCTTACAGACCTCCATGACCAGCACCAGATTTGGTATCAAGAGAGGAAGATGCAGAATCCCCAGGAGGGGACCATTGAGAGATCCAGCACAGGATGACTGATAGCTGGAGGCAAAACAAGCTGCCCTGCAACAACTCACAACCATCCAGATGGGACTGGGTGAGGGTGCAGTGCCTGAGCTCAGTACCACTAGCAGATAAACCTGAGACCATTCTGCTCTTCAGTTCATGCCAACTGGAGTATTCTTCACAGAGAAATACTTGTGCAGATCACAGAAAATGCCTCAATTTAATCAATAACATTGAGACTAAGAATTTTACTCAATACTATTTCATGACAACAATGCAAATACTGAAGAAATAAAGCAGAGCTAAATAATAATTAGAAATTATAACTTCTGCATCCCCAGCTGCCTTTCAACTAGAAGAATCACAGACATTACAGATGGAAATTGCCTATTAGATCATCTAGTCTAACTTCTTGACAGTGAGGGATAAATATCTCAGGGTGCCATCCCTTACAACAACAGCTGGGATCACTTTGTTCATTTCTGAATTTCATCCATGCCTGAATGGATAGAAGATCTCTTCTGTGCTGCAGAGAGAATGTATTCACTAGTTAAGAATATAACATACGATAGCATTAATGCTACCTGTTCATCTTTTAATGCATGTAACATCTACTACACAAAACCATCAGTGCTACTCCAGCAAACTGATCAGAAATTAAAGGCTTTGCATGTCAGTCCTTCTCAAGGAATTTGTTTGGCTGGGATAGGAAAAAACTCCAATTTCTTCAGTATAACTGGACCTAATTTCATATGCAGATCTGCAAAGATATTTATTCCTTTGAAAACTATGGACAAACCACAGATTTTTTTTGTCTTCATTTTGAAACTTAGTTTGA